CTGGAAAAGCAGCCAATGTTCTTTACCACTGAGCATCTCTCCTAAAAATATAAACTTAAAGTTTCAAGGCAACACTTCAAGGAACTAAACAAAAATGTAATGTCCTTGCTCAGCTCCAGGGACTTGGCTTGAGAAGGAGCTGTGAGTGAATAAAGAAATAATAGACACACAGACAGAAATCCTGCTTTTGGGTGGACTGGGCTCTCTGCTGGAGAAACTGCAACCTGCAAACTCAGCATGTTCATTGTGTAGAGTTGAACAGGGAGACAGGGTTATTGCATACAGATAAACAAGGAGTCTGGGTTTATTATATGCAGCGGGATCAAGGAGGTAGATTTGGCTAACCTCAGCAGAAGCAGTCCCTATAGGAGAGCAGTCTTCAGGCCATAAACCATGGTGGGGTCGGGGAAGCTACGGTGGCTATTTTGTGCCCACACTATCAACATTTGCATTCACACCCCAAAGGAAGGCTTTTGCATTTTGCCAAACCCCATCCTGACGGGGAAGGCTTTCTGTTTTCCCACGGATCTGAGGCTGTGAGGTCCTCAGCATGGCCGTGCCTATGTCTACAGCATACATTTATTCAGGGTTCCACACACTCAGGGCTTCCTCTGCTTCCTGAGAGAAAATTAGGAGGTCACAGGACAACTTGTAGCAACTGCTTTTCTCCTTGGACCATGCAGGGAACTAAACTCAGGTCGTCAGGCTTGGCAATAAGCGCCTGGTTTTAGTGGAAGTTTTGGTGTCTTTAAAAGCTCAGTTATGTTATGTAAATATGCTTGTGTTTTAATCCCAAGTGTGGGGTATGGGACTGCCTTAGTTTATCCACAGCTGATAACAGCCTCCTGCAGTTTAGAGAGAGTCATGATCTTTGCCAATTGCTGTTAGTTTAATTCTGAGGACTCTGAGAGGGTATAAATGCCAGTGCCCAGGGAGAAAAAAGATCACCTTGAGGACACAGACAGAGCGAGAGAAGAAGGTTTCTGTTTCTGCCGGAATGCTGGATAGCCTGACAGCTGAGATTGATATTTTCCCAAAGAACCCGACTTCCCTAATCAGAAGGAACTAAGTCTTAAAAAGTCTTTGCCCCATCTCCCCACTAAGTTTCTTTCTCTCCTACCTAGGGTTGGGGGGTTGGAAGGGAGGTAGAGGCTTATGGAACCCCAAATAAACTAAAGTTTAAAAAGTAGCACCTACAAGCGGCACCCAGACATAGGGCTTGGAATAATGCAAAATCTGGTTTCGAATGCTGTAGAGGAGACGGAAGAGTACAAAGAGATAATAAACTGTTTCAGGATGTCAGCAAAAGGTTTACTGTGACTGCTGCCACTGGGTTCTCTCCCACTTTGCTCCCAGAGGGGATTTTCCATTTTTGCTTAGTCTTCTTCCTGGATTCTATTTCAAAAAAGTTTGGGAGAATAGTTGAAGAATTGGAAAAGTTTCGAGTGGATATAGAAGGATATGAGAGTTACCATGTTATAGAAGAAAATACTGATCCAAAAAGTGCTTTGATACTCTCCTTTTAAGAAAGCAACAAGTCTCACTCATATTAGTGAAAAGGCCTTTTTTTTTTTCTTTTCAGACTAAAAGGGGGAGATGTAGTGGAAGATTTGATGTCTTTAAAAACTCAGTTATGTTATGTAAACAAGTTTTTGTTTTAATCCCAAGTGTGGGATATGGAACTGCTTTCAGTTTATCCGCAGCTGATAATTGCCTCTTTCAGCTTGAGAAGGGAGCATGGTCTTTGCCAGCTGGTAACAGCCGCAGGCAGTTCGGAGAGGCGTAGTCTTTGCCAACTGCAGATAGTTTAATTCTGAGGACTCTGGAGAGGGAATAAATACCAGGGCCCAGAGAGAAAGTCAGGGGCTCTGAGGAAGAAGGCTGCTGGTGCCCCCCCCCCCCCCCCCGCTGCTCCTGGTTGCTGTTATTGCGGTTTGGTGATAAAAAGCTGGAGATACCCTGAAACAAAGATTGGGCTTGGCCCAGGGAACCCAATGACCCTAATTACTGGGAAGTAGCTAAAGAGAACTATGCCCCCTCTCCCCACTAACCATCTTTTTCTATTACCTGATGTTGGGGTATTGGAAGGTATTGGAGTGGAGAAGGGAGGAAGAGGTATAGGAAATGCAAATAGAGTAAAATGAAGCCACTACGCCTGGTATCATACACCAGTGCTAACAAGGCTCCCCCAGAGCCGCTACCACCGCCACCAAATTCTCGGAGACCCTTCAGTCTCACTCCCGGAGCAGTTCAGTTTTCCCTAAGAACCCCAGGTGTTCATATGCAGAAGGATTTCGTGTTGGCGATCAAAAAAAGGAAGGTGCTTGGAACTCACTCTGGCATGTCCTCAGAAAATTAGGAATAGTGCTACCTCAAGACCCAGCTATAACACCCCTGGACATATACCTGAAAGATGTTCCAGCATACAACGTTTGCTCAACTATGTTCATAGCAGCTTTATTCATAATAGCCAGAATCTGGAAACAACCTAGATGAGCCTCAACCAAAGAATGGATAAGAAAATTGTGGTACATTTATACAATGGAATACTACTTGGCTATTAAAAACAAGGAAATCATGAAATTTGCAGGCAAATGGATGGAGATAGAAAAGATCATCCTGAGTGAGGTAACCCAGAACCGGAAAGACACACATGGTATATAATCACTTGTAAACAGATATTAGTCATATAATACAGGATAAACATACTACAATCCACAGACCTAAAGAAGCTAAGTAACAAGGAAGACACTAAGGAGGATGCTTAATTCTCATTCAGAAGGCAAATAAAATAGAATAGCAGCTGAAGAGAGGGGACAGGATGGGAACCTACCATAGATGTCCTCTGAAAGACTCTACCCAACAGGGGATGGAAGCAGATGCTAAGACTCACAGCCAAACTCTGGGCAGAGTGCAGGGAGTCTTATGGAAGAGTGGGCAGATAGAAAGACCTGGAGGGGGATGGAGCTCCACAAGGAGACCAACAAAGCCAACAAATCTGGGCCCAGGAGGGCCTCAGACACTGATGCACCAACCAAGTACTATGCATGGAGAGGACCTAGACCCCCTGCTCAGATATAGCCCATAGGCAGCTCAATCTCCATGTGGGTTCCCTTGTATGGGGAATAGGTGCTGTCTCTGACATGGACTCTGTTGTCTCCTCTTTGATCACTTCCCTCTGGCAGGACAGCCTTGCCAGGCCATAGAGGAAGAGGATCCAGACAGTCCTGATGAGACTTGGTAGCTTAAGGTCGGATAGTAGGGGAGGAGGGCTCCCCCTTTCTGTGGTCTAGGGAAGGGAGATGGGGGGAAGAGGAGGGATGGTGGGACCAGGAGGAGATGAGGGAGGGGCTACAGCTGGGATATAAAGCGAATACATTATAAAAAATAAAAAATTTTAAAAAGGAAGGTGCTATCTCTCTGAATATGTTGATATAAAGATCAAGGGCTAGGAAGATAGTTCAGAGTACAAAATGCATACCGTGTAAGCATGAAGAACCTGTGTTCAGATCTCTCATATAAAAATTGGGTGTGGCTCTGTGCATCTTTAACTATAGCACTGGGGGAGTAGAGACAGGAAGATCCTAGGGGCTCACCGGCCGGCCAGCCTGCTCAAAATGTTGAGCTCCAAGTTCAATGAGGAGCTCTGTCACAAAACACAAAATCAACCAAACAAACAATAAGGTGGAGAAGAACAGAAGAGGACCCCTGATGTTGCTTCTGACCTCCATAGTCCCACACTTAGGTGAATGTACCTACACACACACACACACACACACACACACACACACACACACACGGAGACCACTAATTGAGATTAGGCTTATTATAGCAGTGTACAATTAGAAGCAACTTAAATATCCCGCTGAGCGGAAATGTTTAATTAGTTATGATTTGTCCAAACGGAATATTACACGGACATCAGACATGTAAGTAGATGCCTATGTCACAGTGAAAATGAGGGAATCACTTATGATACTACTGTGAATGACAGCAAAGACCACATGCATATAATCCACGTAAAAAGCATTTTAGAAATGCAGGGTCTGGGATGCAGTCCTGTAATCAAGGCACTAGAGGATTGTGGGGCTGAGACCAGCCTGAGAAACTTAGTAAGATCCTTCCTTAAAGAAGGTAAAAACAAAAGAAAATATATATATTGGTTTTGGGACTGCGGAGATGGCTCAAAGAGTAAAGTGCTTAGAAAGAGAGAGAGAGATTATTGTTTTGCTATTGTAAAATAATGAAGAAAATGTTCTGAAACTGATAGCTGAAGAAAAGATGAGTTGGCCTATTGGCTTAGTGCCCTGATGGGCATTTGTCGGTGTGTGACTGACTGTCAGCAGGGCATCCTGAGCGTAGGCAATATGGTTCATGGCTCAGCTGGTTTTGCTCAGGCTCACTCTTGCTACAAGGGCTTGGTCACTGGCAGGGTGGGCTGAGTTACATCACTCACACATCAAGTGCTGGCTGTGTACCAGCTGCTGAGCCCCTCTTGTGGATCCACAGGTGTCTTTGAACATATCTGCAACAGTATTCAGTGTTTTGAAACAAAATTATAACCTTAAAGTCACTGGAGCGGTGGATATTGATAGATTGCTTTGTTTGAGTATTTTAATAGTATTCCCCAAAGGCCTAATCAGCCAGAAAATGTCAAAGGCAGAAAAGGGAATAGGCCACGTCTGGGCCATGGATGCAAGCAGATTTCATGTGATGCAATGACTAAGACGGTTGGCCTCAAGGCTAGTGTGAAAGGCTGACAGAAGCCAAGGGAGGAAGCAGTTCTTCCGAGTCGGGATTCAGCCACGGGAAGGATCAGTGGTCTGGTAAGTGCCACATATCTACCATGGGGTAGGAGGCCCCCAGAAGGATGGGGTCTTCAGCTTCTTTCTTCCCAAGGAGTTTGCTAATGGCAAGTAGGCTTAATCTGGCTGCAGCATTTGCGGACAGTGACAGGTCCTACACCCGTGAGACACTGATGTGTGATGAACTCTGTGCAGGTCGTGGCCCGGGAGCTGCTGGCCCAGTACAGCAAGCAGCATAAGAAAAAGCCGCTCCTGGGTCTGATCCAGGGCTGGACTGAAACTGCCAGCGACAAGCTGAGAACCAGGTACGTGCTGCCCAAATATCATCCTCACCTCCCTAGGAGTTTTACTCTCAGCCTGTTTATAGAGCCCCGACATGGCCAGCTCGCACTTGTTTGACAGATTTCGTGTCTGATGTACGCATCAGCAGCAGGGAACATAAATAATCAGGGCCGCGTGCCCACCATCCAGCTTACGACCTAAAATATTCCAGACTTTGCGGTTTCTCCCAAGTTTCTTCTTCATTAAGTATTCTGTGAGTTTAAATCTTAAAACTTCATGAGGCAGGTTCTTGTTTCCATTTGACAGGTGGAGAAACTGAGGCACAAAAGCTAAGTATTTTGACGTATTCTGTAATTTTCTGTTTTCACCTGAGATTTTGTTACTTTGGTTTGTCTCAGTTATATAAGTAGCCAGGAAGCTTCAACACAACATGTCACGAGAGTTCTGCATTTGTAAACGCCACAATTTGACTGTATTATTCACATCTCCAGCTTTGATCGATACTTGAGTTGTGTTCAACATTTTGATATTTTGTGCAAACTGGTAAAACAACGTGTTCATGTTTTCTGGGGAGCATGGGGAGGGTCAAGCTTTCCAACTCGAGGCCAAATGTACATTCTATGATGCCACTGACATCCACAGAGTGAACCTACCCTTCAGGCACAACTGAAGCCAAACCCAAGCATTAGCCTGTCCTGTCCTGTCCTGTGCTCACATGCTCGCTGGTGCTAAAAGAAAATTAAGGAATATTGACCTCAGTCCTTCAAGCTGATTTCATAGCTCATAAATGACTTGTAATCCATTGTTTGAAAGACACTCTCGTAGGGCCTGTTACCTGTGTTGTTGCTCTGTTGTGGGTTATGTTTAACGTCATTAGATGGCTCCAAACAGTTTTCATGCTACAGTCTCGACCAGCAGCATGCAGATTTAGATTTTGGCTTCCTTGGGCCACACAGTCACCTACAATGTTCACACTTAAGAACCATCACGCAGTCAAGGTTTAAAAATTCATCCTCAAAAACCAACCAACCAACCAACCAAAAAAAAAAAAACCTCCTCATGTTTTTGATTTTATATCAGGCTCACAAACATCTTTACTCTAGCTCCGGAGGCCCTCTTTGGGCACTACACTCCCATGTGTGTGCCCACACGGAGCCACGTATACATGTACCAGCACAATGCAGACATGCACACACAGGCACATGCACACACACACTAATACATATAATAAAATTTAAGAAAAAAAAATGTTGTTTTCTGAGAGACACAATTGCCTAAAAAAAAAAATCTCCATTTATTATTTTAGTGCACATTTGTTATAAATGCGTTAAAAATTTTGTCCCATAAATTTTCTGTACCTGTGAAAATTATGTGACATTTCTTCTTTATTCTCTCAATTCGATACACCTTTGTAAAAATTCTTACATTTATTGTGTGCGTGTGTGTAGGCATGTGTGAACCATCGCACATGTGTGGAGGTCAGAGGACAGTTAACAGGAGTGGGTTCTTGACTCCTGCCCTGTGAGTTCTGGGGGTAGAACCTGGCGCACCAGTCTTGGCAGGGGGAACCATCTAGGTTGTTCTTTCTTATTTTTATATGCCTCTGCTTCAGACCCATGTCATGGTTTTACTGATGAGCTGTTTAGGGCGAACTTCTTATTTGTTAGAAGAAGCCAATCGATGATTTGAAAAGGAGCCGAGCTTGGGAGAATATTCAAAACCTCGAGGGGGCCCACTGGTTTCAGGACTGTTAAAGCTTATTCTTCCTGGGTCACTTCTGTAAGCTCCGCCTCCTGCTGTGTCCCCTTTGTCCTTCTGCATGTGTCTCTCCTGGAGTCTCTGTGCTCTACTGCTGTGGTTCAGTCTCCCCAGAGCTTAATCGGGTCTAGTCGTGTTTTAGGTAACCGCAGTTTCCTTTGTTGCTCCTCCGTCAGCTTACCACAGTGTAGAACCCCCTGAGAGGGAATCTCAACCAGGAATCATCCACGCCTGTGACAGACTGTCCTTATTGGCATCAGCTGAAGTGGGAAGAGCCACCCCGATTGTGGGCAATGCCATTTCCCGGGCTGGGCTCTGGACAGAAGGAGAAGGCGGGCAGGGTGAGCGCTGTGAGCATGCTCTCTGCGCGTCGCTGTGCACGTGACCTGCCCAGCTTCCTGACACTAATTCCCAATACCTTGACTTCCTGGAAGACACAGACTATACCCTGGGATTGAACCAAATAAACCTTTCTCCCTGAAGTCGCTTTTGTCTAAGTATTTTACCACAGCAACAGGAAATGGAATGAAGACACCTCTTTTCTGTTTTATTGTTTTATGCCCATAAATGTTATTTTTTTTTTAAATTCTACTGTGGGAGAGCTCACAGTATTTTTAACTTCTCACCTTTATTTCGAAACTAATTATTGCTCTCTATAACCCAAATATATTGAATCAATTAAAAAAAAAACCTATTCAAAAATGCAATCTTATGATCCTGACTAAACACATGGAGGAGGGGGCTGGAGAAATGGCTCAGTGATGAAGAGCACCTGCTGCTCTTGCCGAAGACCTGGGTTCAATTCCCAGCATCCACATGGCAGCTCACAACCATCTGCAACTCCACTTTCAGGGGACACAGAGTCCTCTTTTGGCCTCTGAGGGTCAATAACGCACACATACATACGTGTAGCCGAAACTTTATCCATAGAAAATAAATAAAATCTAGTTCGTAAAAACACCACAGAATATACAGTAAATGATACATTGTACGCTGATAACCACTGGGGTGAAGCGAACTGTACAGATCTATAGCCAGGCTCTTTGTTTCTGCTCTTTCTGTTTTGTTTTTGTTTTTTCAAACTGTAGTTTATTTTAAAGCTTGCGTTGCTTTAATGAAATCCCTCTTTATTTTAAAGCTTGCGTTGCTTTAATGAAATCTCTCTTGCTTTTTATGTCTCCATTTGTCCTCGCACGCTCTAGGAAGCCAGCGACTCTCTTTTAGCATTAAGAACACCCCTAAGGGTTTTGTAGGTTTACTGGTTTGACTGTTTTCCAACAAGGAGTCGAGCAGAGACTGCAGTTCCCTGGCAGCATGAGTCTCATCCTTTCAGGAACCTTTGTCACAGCTTGCTGCAAATCATCCACTCTTTGGTTTGCTTTCCAGGCAGCAGAGCAAGCCTTGTTTCTCTCACTGGAACATCATGCTCTCAACACATGCACACTCATATCCCTCTGCAAATTTCCCAGGATAGGCTCGAGTTGTGCCAAGGCAGCATTCCAAATGTAAATATTTGGAAAGTGCTAGCCCACTTTTATTATTATTATTATCATTTTTTGTCTCAGTTATTAGCCTCTGTGGTGGTTTGGATGCAAATGACCACATAGGCTCATATGTTTGGACGCTTGGTCCCCAAGCGTGGAACTATTGGGAACTATTTGGGAAGGATTAGGAGGTGTATGTAGCCTTGTTGGAGGAGGTGTCAGTAGGGGTAGGCTTTGAGGTTTCAAAAGCCCATACCATTCCTAGTTAGCTTTCTCCGCCTGGCAGTTACATCTCAAGATGTAAGCTTCCAGTTACTGCTTCAACACAGCGCCTGCCTGCCTGCCCGCTGCCATGATCCCCACAGTGATGGTTGTGGACTCTAAACCCCTGAAATTGTAAGCCCCAAATAAACTCTCTCTTCCATAAGTTGTCTTGGCCATGGCGTCTCTTCACAGCAATGGAAAGGAAACTAAAACAACCTCTAGCCCAGTTCACCGCTCTCTCCCACAAAGCCAGGATTTACTCATTCCGGATGTTGGTGCTTAGTCACTTATATCCCACACTTCGGTCTTTTAAGAAAAGCTATTGCCACCAACACATTTCCAGCACTCCCTCTGTTCCAGACACGACTCTGCACATAGGTGAGATGCAGCAGTAGCTGGACTCTGCTCTCACGGGACTCACACTCACACGGAGCAGGCTGAATCCAGTCTTAGTGACAGTGCCCAAGGGAAGTCCCAGGAACAGGGGTAGGGTGAGGTGGGGTGCACAGAAAGAAGGGCTGAGAACTTCCTGAGAGTCTGAGGTTTCTCCAAGCAGGAAGCCGTTCCTTTGGACTTTAGAGGATCTAGGCACAGTTCAGAAAGGCTTCATGAGACTGGGGTGTGAGGAAAGGTCACCAGGGGTGGGCTTTGGGGTTTCAAAGAGACTGGGGTGAATGGAGGTGAGTCTGAGAGGGGGTTGTTCCTGGCTCGATCCAGGAAGCTCTGCCTCCCACCTTCCTGCCGCTGTTACTCTGACTGCTCAGTCAGTCTAGAAGGTCCACAGAGGCCTCTCTGGGCATTGGGGAGAGTCAAGATTCTGCCTCACAGCAGAACATCATCCATATCATGCTGTGAAAATTTTCAGATATGCAGCCAAATTTGAAGGAGTCGAGGGCAAGCATTTATGTAGTCACCTCCCATGGAGAGGCGTCCATGGAAAATCTGCTGTGAGCATGCAGCACTGTTCATGCTAAATCTCTATCACATGTACAGCGTGTCACTTGACAACAGAGAGTTCTGAAAAGTGAGACAGGTTGTTTTGTAGTGGGAACATCATGGAATGCAGGTCACAGATCTGGACAGCATAGGCCCGTGCTCATCCCAGACTCTTGAGGAAATCACAGGGTACAGGTGTACACGGCCATTGTTGGTGAAACATGGCACATTGCTTAACTTTTTTACATTATATGCTAAAATAAGGTTAAATTACAGCATCGTTGTTTATTATATAGCATTAGATTTTATACCTATTCGCTTATACTGTACTTTTTTTTATATGAGAAACTGTGAGAGCTTTCCAGAGTGGGTTTGACCATTTGACACTTTGGTGAGTAGATATGAGCATTCTGGTGTCTTCGTGTCCTTGGCAACATTTGACATAATATATTTAATTTTGAACAGGCTGTTGGATGTAGCATGCCATTCACTCTGGTCGCTTTAAATTGTCATCGTATAGCATTAAATGTTGTGCCTATTTGCTTATAGTCTACTTTTACATGACTGGCAGACAGCACAGTAAGGTGGCTCATAGCAATATCTGCACAACAAAAAAGTCCTATGCTGTGCTGTGACCTTCCTTCCTTCCTTCCTTCCTTCCTTCCTTCCTTCCTTCCTTCCTTCCT